AAAAAAAAAAACGACAGTGGTACCCCTTACGTTTTTTTTTGTTTTTCGGGTAAAAAAGTAAGTTTCTCCAATCTTCCCAAAACTCTGGATTCTGATAGAGGGCCATGAAACTTAGACCTGAGTGCAAAAATGGAGGCTCTAGCCCCTTCCAGAGCTGAGATATCGAAACTCAAATATTCGGCATGAAAAAAAAAAACGACAGTGGTACCCCTTACGTTTTTTTTTTCGGGCAAAAAATTAAGTTTCTCCAATCTTCCCAAAACTCAGGATTCTGATAGAGGGCAATGAGACTTAGACCTGAGCGCAAAAATGGAGGCTCTAGCCCCTTCCAGAGCTGAGATATCGAAACTCAAAAATCCGGCCCGAAAAAAAAAACGACAGTGGTACCCCTTACGTTTTTTGTTTTTTTTCGGGCAAAATATTAAGTTTCTCCAATCTTCCCAAAACTCTGGATTCTGAAAGAGGGCAATGAGACTTAGACCTGAGTGCAAAAATTGAGGCTCTAGCCCCTTCCAGAGCTGAGATATCGAAACTCAAAAATTCGGCCCGAAAAAAAAAAACGACAGTGGTACCCCTTTTGTTTTTGTTTTTTTTCGGGTGAAAAAATAAGTTTCACCAATCTTCCCAAAACTCCGGATTCTGATAGAGGGCCATGAGACTTAGACCTGAGTGCGAAAATGGAGGCTCTAGCCCCTTCCATAGCTGAGATATCGAAACTCAAAAATTCTGCCCGAAAAAAAAACGACAGTGGTACCCCTTACGTTTTTTTTTTTTTTTTCGGGCGAAAAATTAAGTTTCTCCAATCTTCCCAAAAGTCTGGATTCTGATAGAGGGCAATGAGACTTAGACCTGAGTGCAAAAATGGAGGCTCTAGCCCCTTCCAGAGCTGAGATATCGAAACTCAAAAATTCGGCCCGAAAAAAACACGACAGTGATACCCCTTACGTTTTTTTTTTTTTTTTGGGCAAAAAATTAAGTTTCTCCAATCTTCCCAAAACTCTGGATTCTGATAGAGGGCGATGGGACGTAGACCTGCATGCAAAAATTGAGGCTTTAGACCCTTCCAGAGCTGAGATATTGAGATATTTATAATGGCATAAATGCTACGTGGGATCTCAATATCTCACCTCTAAAAGGGTCTAGAGCCTCCATTTTTGCACTCAGGTCTAAGTCCCATGGCCCTCTATCAGAATCCAGAGTTTCAAGAAGATCAGAGAAACTAAAAATGTAGACCAAAAAAAAAAAAAAGCGACAGTGTTACCCCTGTCATTTTTTTTTTTTTTTTTTTTGCGAAAAAATAAGTTTCTCAAATGTCCTTGAAACTCTGGATTCTGATAGAGGGCGATGGGACGTAGACTTGAATGCAAAAATGGAGGCTCTAGACCCTTCCAGAGCTGAGATATTGAGATATTTATAATGGCATAAATGCTACGTGGGATCTCAATTGCTGCATTCCAAAAACCGCATACTTAATGAGTAGGTACTTAATTTCGATAAGTACTTACTTACTCAACGAGCGCTAAAAGCGTAGGTACTTTATAACCAAATCTTGTTGAGTATGAATGAGAACCGGACATCTGCCATGTTGACGTTATCATGTGACCTACTAAGCGTTATTACAAGCGCAACTACTTAAAATATATGAAGGATACGTTTAATTCATCTATCCATAAATATTTTGATATTGATGAAACTTGCTCATTTTTTTGTGTTATTGTTGAAGAAACAGCTTCCCGTTTATTTTTTTGAATACATTTAGGGTTGATTTAAGTTGTTATATTTTAAACCTTACTAATGTGACCCACAGTGTTATTCTTATAGCGACATTTTTTTTTAATTAAGAAACCCCAAAATCGTCATCTCTTGAATATGTTGTTAATTTCTTCATTTTATAACCAAAAAAGTTTCTCCTTAAAGTTTTACTCTTTTTATTGATGAATTTACCTTGTTTCATCCTCAGACTTAAAACAACAACACATTTTTAATGTATTATGAAGATATTTAGCCTTGGTATTGTTTTTTCCTGTGTATATATATATATATAATTGTATGATGTCACATTATGATGTACACAAAACAATGATCCTTATATTTTCTGTTTTGTCATTATGATTGTTACAAGATCATGGAAAGATACCATAGTTGTATGTATGTAATAAGTTTAAAATATATATGCAACAGGTGCACTAACACTTCATAACATCAGTAACTCGACAGCACAACCTAGAACAGTTTTCCTCTGCATTTGTAATGTCTGCACAAAGGACACGGGCAGCTGCTCGAAGATCTCTTTTGGAGAAAACTGTTGATTTTATACTCGAAAAAAATGTAAGTATCACTCCTTAAAAATTAATATTACCTCAGAATGAATTGCATTGTTAGCCCACCCCAAAACTTAAACACAACAATAATATTAAATGCTGACCAATACTTAATTATATAACTTTTTTACATACTAAAAATATAATTTAATAAAACAAGCAAAATGAAATTTGTTTTGTCATATGACAGTTGCATGAATACATTTATATTGCTAAATGCAGTGAAACATCTCAATTGTCAGTCAATCGATGAATTAATGCATACATTAATTAAATAATAATATTTTATATACTGACAACAATAAGAAACATGAATAAATGAGTAAAACAACAAATAAAAGTAACCATCACAATAAACAAATGCATATATACAAGTCAACAACACATGAAACAAAGCTTTATTCAAACTACAAGCATGTATTTACAGGCGCTGAACACCACATCCTACTGCCGACTCAACACATCGGTTCCCATTCTGCAGCTTTATTCTGATGAATTCACCAGAGGGGACTGTGCCTTCATGCCGGAGCTTGTTGCTGTGCTGCGCTTCACAATCTGAGGCAATAAGGGCAGGTGGAGCGATAGAGGGACTCATAAGGGCAGATGGAGAGATGGAGGGTATCATAAGGGCAGGTGGAGCGATGGATGGTCTCATCCATGGGACCACTTCCAGGATTCAGCTCTGGGCTCCTCATCCTCAGTGCTCACACCAGTCTGCAGACATTTCAGATCCTACAAAAATGCACAAACATTACACAAAAGCAGTCATTTTAACAGCACAATGTCATTTAATTTATGTATTAAAAATTACCTTACTTTATATTTGAGTAAAATCCCCAAAACTTTTTTTCCCAAACAAATACTGCCATCATCTTTCCTTGCAGGTCCTGCTCCACCACAAAAGGTCTGCAGCAAATGCACAGAAATCAAGACTCAGAAAAATGTTGTAATTTCTATCCATTTCTGTAGTATACTCACTCAAAGCCTTTGATGACAGCATTCAGCATCATGAGCCTCTCTCTATTCTGGATAAACACACGCGTGTTCTTCTGTCCCTGTAACATACAGACAAGATTCACATTACGAGCACAACACTGCATTTAGCCTACATGCTGAGGTTGATGTGTTAACTCACTTTTAATCCAACTTAAATGTTCCTCAATATATCAACACTAATAAGGGACAAATTAAATATATGTTTAGTTACATTATAGATTTGTTTATTTACAGTATTTACAGCACATTTGTCTAACGTAAGCAGTGTTGACAACAGTGAATTATCCTTCATAATAGCACACAAAACGTTACATCACTCAAATGTATTTTTCATGTTGGGATGTGCTCACCTGCAAAACTTATAGAATATTTTCCTTCCTGAGGTAAATAGACATTTTAAATAAGTGTGTTTTAGATGTATGGTTATGAAAATCCACTTTAGAAACGTAACTTAATGTACATGTGCTTACTGGAGCTCCTGTGTTAACTAGCTCTCTCAGCTCTGGAAGGGTCTAGACTCTAGAGCCTCCATTTTTGTCTAAGTCCCATGACGCTCTATCATAATCCAGAGTTTCAAGAAGATCAGAGAACCTCAAAATTTCGACCCAAAAAGAAAAAAAAAAAAAAAAAAAAACGACAGTGTTACCCCTGTCGTTTTTTTTTTTTTTTTTTTTTTTTTTTTGTGAAAAAATACGTTTCTCCAATCTTCTCTAAACTCCGGATTCTAATAGAGGGCCATGGGACTTAGACCTGAGTGCAAAAATGGAGGCTCTAGACCCTTCCAGAGCTGAGATATTGAGATGTTTATAATGGCCTTAATGCTACAGGGGATCTAAATATCTCAGCTCTGGAAGGGTCTAGAGCCTCCATTTTTGCACTCAGGTCTAAGTCCCATGGTCCCATCTGAGCTCTGGAAGGGTCTAGAGCCTCCATTTTTACACTCAGGTCTAAGTCCCATGGCCCTCTATCAGAATCCAGAGTTTCAAGAAGATTAGAGAAACTAAAAATTTCGACCCAAAATAAAAAAAACGACAGTGTTACCCCTGTCGTTTTTTTTTTGTTTGTTTTTTTTTGTGTGAAAAAATAAGTTTCTCAAATGTTCTTCAAACTCTGGATTCTGATAGAGGGCGATGGGACGTAGACCTGAATGCAAAAATGGAGGCTCCAGACCCTTCCAGAGCTGAGATATTGAGATATTTATAATGGCATAAATGCTACGTGGGATCACAATATCTCACCTCTGGAAGGGTCTAGAGCCTCCATTTTTGCACTCAGGTCTAAGTCCCATGGCCCTCTATCAGAATCCAGAGTTTCAAGAAGATCAGAGAAACTAAAAATTTCGACCCAAAAAACAAAACAAAAAACGACAGTGTTACCCCTGTCGTTTTTTTTTTTTGTTTTTTTTGTGCGAAAAAATAAGTTTCTCCAATCTTCTTGAAACTCTGGATTCTGATAGAGGGCCATGGGACGTAGACCTGAGTGCAAAAATGGAGTCTCTAGACCCTTCCAGAGCTGAGATATTGAGATATTTATAATGGCATAAATGCTACGTGGGATCTTAATATCTCAGCTCTGGAAGGGTCTAGAGCCTCCATTTTCACACTCAGGTCTAAGTCCCATGACCCTCTATCATACTCCAGAGTTTCAAGAAGATCAGAGAAACTCAAAATTTCGCCCCCAAAAAAAGAAAAAAAAAAAAAACGACAGTGTTACCCCCTCCGTTATTTTTTTATTTTTATTTTTTGTGAGAAAAAAATACGTTTCTCCAATCTTCTTGAAACTCTGGATTCTGATAGAGGGCCATGGGACGTAGACCTGAGTGCAAAAATGTGGCCTCTAGACCCTTCCAGAGCTGAGATATTGAGATATTTATAATGGCATAAATGCTAAATGGGATCTTAATATCTCAGCTCTGGGAGGGTCTAGAGCCTCCATTTTTGCAATCAGGTCTAAGTCCCATGGTCCCACCTCAGCTCTGGAAGGGTCTAGAGCCTCCATTTTTGCACTCAGGTCTAAGTACCATGGCCCTCTATCAGAATCCACAGTTTCAGGAAGATCAGAGAAACTCAAAATTTCAACCCCCCCCCAAAAAAAACAAAAACCACAGTGTTACCCCGATAAACTATAAGTTTATCAAGCGACGAGAATACTTTTTGTGCGAAAAAACTAACAAAAATAACGACTTTTCGACTATTCATTTTCTTCCTTGTTTGCCAGAAACGAGACTTCAATAGATTTCCACTACGCATGCACGAGAATTGCGATCTCCTCCAACTACTTCAGTTCAGTTCTCACGCATGCGTCGTGGAAATCTATGGAAGTCTCGTTTCAGGCCAACAAGGAAGAAAAGGAATGATCGAATAAAGTAGGTAATTTTGTTTGTTTTTTCGCACAAAAAGTATTCTCGTCACTTGATAAACTTATAGTTGAGCCACTGTAGTCACATGGAATATTTAAACGTTTTCTTAATTGACTTTCTGGGCCGTCAAGTGTCATTCCCTTAGGAGCCTATGTGGTAGTTATACAGCTCTCAAATTTAATAAACAATATCTTCATTTGTGTTCCGAAGATGAACGAAGGTCTTACGGGGTTGGTACAGCATGGGGGTGAGTAATTAATGACTTAATTTTCATTTTTGGGTGAACTAACCCTTTAAGTAAAGTAACAAAGTATTTGTACTTTGTTACATTCCACCACTGTTCATAAATGAGAATCACATCGTAGAGTATACCTTCTCAAGCCACATTCAAAGTGCACGACCGCCCCGAGGCTCGTCTCATTCACCCTTGCATGCAACCATACTTTTAGCTAAAATAGCACACTTCAATTACATTTTGTTACATGTTATTACAATGTCTACTACTAAGTAATTAATTAAGTAAATACTCTGTATCACCGACACCATCAAATAAAGTGTTACCCACTTAAAAAAAAGTGTGCTTGCTACGCATGTTAGGCTACATGTAGTTATTGTAATAATAACTATCCTAGACAAGACAGCAACATAGTGTTGGCCCAGATCCGGCCCACATCTGGTACACGTGGATTCCACACGGATGTGGGCAGGATCTGAGCTGGCACTATGACCCCGTTTACACCTGGTATTAAAATGCGATCTGTATCCAGATAAGTTATCCGGATAATAAGTACTGATTCCATTTACACCTGGCCACATAAATGTGTTTTTGCAAAACGGATATAAATCCGATCTTCACCTCCTGCGTTATATGCAGATTTATTGGATTGCACGCCACCAAAAGCAACAGATCTGAGCGGCATTTTATTGATCATCAGCTAATTTCCAAATCAGAGACATCAATAAGAGAGAGTGGCAACAGGCCTGGTAAGATAATTTAGTTTCTTTACTTGAAGATGTGTTAACTGCGTCTGTGACTTACTTTCACTTTTATTTGCGATGTTTGCACGTTGAATAGACGCTCAGCTGCTCATCTGCGGTGATGCGTGTCGCATCTGACTAGGCTATAACATAGCCTATATAACACGCTCTCACTCGTTTATTTTTTAGCATTTTTGGGAGGAGTAAAATATACATATGTGGTTTCAACAACCAGATTGCGTTTACACCTAGTAAAGATCCGGACACAATGCGAGCCAGACTACCTCCAGATGTGGTCAGGCAGATCCAGTGCCGGCGCTATGGGGGGGGGCATTAGGGGGCAATGCCCCCCCAAATGTATTTTGTGCCCCCCCAAATTGAATTATGATATAATTTACAAAATAATATCAGTTTAATTTAATTCACATTTCAGTGAGAAATAGTACAAATATATGTCTACAAACGGCTCATTAGCTGAAAATACAATAAAGCCAACATAAAAACCAGTGTGACGCTGTTTTTTATTATCCGGATAACTTATCTGGATACAGATCGCATTTTAATACCAGGTGTAAACGGGGTCTATGTTGCTGTCTGTGATATTAGGCATAATTACATGCAACTAACCCCAAACCAACCCTAATTCTTACCCTAACCCTATAGTAAGTATGTAGATAATTTCACACTTAAATGCATAACTATAATATGGTCACCTTAAAATAAAGTGTAACCCAAATGAATAACCTATGATTGTTTCTACAAGTGGGGGAAAGTATTTTAACACCAAAAAAGTACTTATTTCAGCTTTATGTTAAAAAAATATATGCTGTTTTAAGCATTAAAAGTCAGTTCAAGTTTTGTTCTTTCAACAGTGCACTGAACAATTATTTCAGTTTTATTCAGAGCAATCAAAGCATCTTTCTATTCCCTCCTTGGCATTTTTGCTAACCAAGCATTCACACATCTTAACAGTGATTTAGGAGCAACACATCAGCTCGCTCTTAAAGACAAAATCAGACTTGTTTTCACAGTCGACAGTCGATTTTACTGATGTGTGCTCAGCAACCTCTAGAAAACTTTCTTTAGCCGCCTCAGGTGAAGCACCTTCTTTTTGCACTTTGTCTGTGTAATTTATGGAAATATCCGAGTGTTCTCTCCTAGGCAAAAGCGGATTTCCTGAAAGATAAGTGCAAAATTCTACAATGCTGATCTACAAAGTGGGTAAACACGGGAGTGAGAAAATAACACCTCGGGAATGGTCTATGGATCAACATTCTCCAAAATATGATTTCCTAAATCCTTTATAAATTATAATAACACTGATAAGCTTTCGGCTTAAGTGATCCATGGAATCACTGGCTTGAGAGTTTAACACCAGTTCCTGAAGAGGTAATTCTGATGCAAATGAGACGGAAGACTTCCCAATAAATGCCACTGGGTGCTGAATAAGGTCCAGGTGGGAGTGTTATTTATACAGTTTGGGTAAAGACTTGCATCAGAGATTGAGAAGAAACGGATTGT